CCACACTGAAGATCTGTCCAGACGCCGGGTGAAGCGTCAGGCCCAGCTGCTGGATCAGATCGAGACCCATGATGGCCTCGGTCGATGGCGTCTCTACCAGGAAGAACTGGGCGTCAGCACACTTATCACCAAACGTGACAGTCACAGGGAGCGTTCCTGCTACTGGTACTGGCTTCCTGCCAAACCCGAAAAGCCTGGAGCTACTCGGCTGAAACTCCTTCCCCTTGAAGAGATCTCGGGCGTACTGAAGAGACAAAAGTGAACAGGTAGCTCCAGTGTCGACCTGGATGTCGACCGAGTGCTGAATGTCACCCACAGAGAGCGTGACAGGACAGAGCACCTTCTGAGGGGAGTCACTGACCTTCAGCACGGTAGCCTCCTTAACTGTGTCCTTCAGGCGTCGTGGGGCGGCAGCTGCGGTTGAAGCAGAGGCGCTTGACCTGCAGACTGCGGCGAAGTGCCCCCGCAGGCCGCACGAGCTGCAGCTGCGACCTCGAGCTGGACAGTCCTTGGAGCCGGTTCGATGTGACGATCTACCACAGTTGGTACACGGGGCCTGACGTTCAGGCAGTCCGCTGTGTGCCTTGACTTTCTTCGGTTGACGAGGGTGGGACACCTTGGCGACGACTGGAGCAGAAGATTGCTGGCCCGCCATTACTGCCGATTCACGGAGGGCCCTCTCATATGCGTCGGCTGTAGCGAGCGTCCTGTCCAACGTGAGCTCCGCATCTTGGAGCAACTTCTCTCGCAGGCGTGGGTGGATCGTCTTTTCCACCACCATGTCGCGGATCATATCATCAGTCATACTGCCAAACTTACAGTTTACTGCCAGACCTCGCAATACTGATACATACTCTGCGGTAGACTCCTGCGGCAGCTGCGCTCGTTGTCGAAATGAAAAGCGTTCGACAATGGCATTCACTCGTGGGATAAAAAATGTGTCCAGCTGGCGTAGGGTTAACGTGAAGGCATCGTCTCCTTCCATCTTCACGGCTGGAGGAAGCGTCTCCTGGATGCGCTGGCCCTCCTCGCCTAAACAATGTAAAAGAATAGCTCGCTTCCGCTCTGCGGCGAATGCGTCACCGCCCGTCGCCAGCAGGTAAGTATTAAAACGTAGCTTCCATGTCTCCCACGGTACAACTGGTTTACCCGGAGTGGGTAAAAAGGCTGAAGGCGGCCTAAGCCCGTCGAGGTTCATATCTCGTCGCCAGAAATATAGCGTTTCCTCTCGCTTCAGCCGCACCGCCAGGTCCCACACGCCGCGCCACCACTCGTCACTAAACTGTATTCTCGCTCAGCATTGCCAGTATGGCGGCCAATAGAGGAGCACGTAATAGAGAAACAAGTACCCACTGGCGATAGTACTCGGTACAAACGAAACGCTTAATTCTAATCGGGAAACACTACATCGTCCTGGGATTCCAAGGTCTCGCGGCATATGCAAATGTTGAGGTCCTGGGATTCCAAGGTCTCGCGGCATATGCAAATGTTGAGGTCCTGGGATTCCAAGGTCTCACGACATATGCAAATGTTGAGGTCCTGGGATTCCAAGGTCTCGCGGCATATGGATGTTTTAAGGTCCTGGGTTTCCAAGGTCTCGCGACAAAAATGACAATGCAAGGTCCAGGATCCTTCAAGGTCCCAGACCTTGGACTCTGCGAACCCTGGATCTCGGATCTTTTTGGGACCTTGGCACTTGGAAGCCCCTGCCAGAGAACTGGAGACGGCCGGATTATTTGCTGGACAGTGGGCAGCGCAGATGGCGATTGACGGTGCCAAAAAGATGATAGGGAAAAAGGGGTTGAGACTTGAGCAGTGAATTATAAGCCTGTTGCATAGCTGAGTGGTAAATTGTAAAATACTTAAGGTTTGAAGAGATGCAGTGTAGTTTAGCCGACTCAGGGGCATTCTGCCGAGTTATGTAAGGCGGAAGGGTCGCAACTCGCAAGTCGTTTGTTTTAGATTGCCTGATTAAAATGTAAAGCGTACCTAATGTTTTAATTGATAATACAGCGAGCTTGGGCATCTGCTCAATCCATTTCTTCTCTGCAATAGTGCATTCGCCACTGTAATTCATTGTAAGAGGCACTGGGCTGCGCCGCCTGTTAATTATTCCGAAACCACCAGTGAATTGTCACAGTCACTCACAACAATACGAATCGTTCAGTCGTGCGCTGGGGGTCCGCCAAGTTTGAGTGTGCTGCAGAATGCAGACTGGACCGCCGAGAATATAACACTTCCGTCTCCCTGGGCGAGCGGCGCATTGGAGCCGAAGGAAACTGCTTCAGTTTTTTTGTGGGGAAGATATCCATGTTTGAAAATTATGTTCTGAAATGATGCGATAAGGAAAAGGACGGTTTCTTGAATTGAGGGCTGTGGAGAAGAAGCAGATTTTCTCATTTGCTACCCGATACAACGCGAAAAGACGCAAATGTTGCACATTGGGCTTAATAAGTCTAATAAAAGATAAGGGTCAAGGGACTTCGTGAATCATGCCTAACTGACCGCGACCCAGTTATTTGCCACTGCAGGTAGGTACTAGGTAGGTAGATACTCATTTGTAAACAGAGCGTTCCACCAACCCTCGCCAGAAATTCAATCAGCAGTTGCTTATCTTAAAACGTTTGAGTGCACCTAACAACCTTTAAAAATGACGTCCTCCCTTTCAATGGTTCGTTCGAAGACACAAAGCCAGAATCAGCCAAGCAATATCGGAATCCATTGCGGTGTGTCGACTGTCGGATGTGCCCATCCACATAGCATAGCACACACTGCTAAATGCAGGTACGCTCACCTACACATTAGGGCCCTGTTTCACCGGTGATAGCAGCAAGCTGCTATCACGTTTCGCGAGCTGACGTCATGTCGTGACGCCATACTGTTGTCGTAATGGGTAGTTCCGGCGCACGATTGCCGCGACCTTGGCGGCGGCATTAAGTGACGTATGAGCCTAAAAGTAAGAGTTTACGCAGTCATGATAGTATATATATTTTTGATATATATTTTTTCAATATGATGTATTTAAAAGAAGTTGGGTTTAGGAAAAATTTGGACATTAACTTCGAACATTTAGCTGATGACGTAAAACAATATTGCGGCAATCGTGCGCCAGAATTGCCCCTTACGTCAGCAGTATGACGTCATCACATTACGTCAGCTCGCGCAATTTGATAGTAGCTTGCTGCTATCACCGGTGAAACAGGGCCCAGGTATTCGAAGGACTTGATAGCTCATACACATGGAAGAAACGCATGAAATGTGATTAATAGCTACAGCAGAAGTTTGGCGTCCGATGCCTCTTCGCCAAGTTAAGACCATGCCAATCTCGGCCCAAGGCTATAGAACTCCAGGTAAGGACACCAGCCGTTTGACCTTGAACGCCGCCGGCCGGCCGATGACGTCATTGGAGGCAAGCCGGCTCGGCGGACACACAGGGCGAATGCATAACGGAGGGGCGTTGGAACGTTGCGGGAGCCAGGGAGATATTTTAAAGTGGTTGCATACCACCATTGTTTGTTGATTGATCTACAGACTGCATCCTTTTAAACCTCAATGCATCCTAGGCCTGGATGGTGCGTACATTCGTGGAACGATCACCCCGTCCGACGTCCGTGGTCGAAGCTGTCATAGTATTTAAGACACTAAAGACGGGTGCAATAACGGCGATCCGATCCCGTCTCTGGCGAATTTAGAGGGGTCGTAAGGACCCAGGCCGAATCTGACCGTCTATTTTTAGGGAAACGGGGTGGGTGAATTGACAACCGATGGCTTAAGAGATGATGAGAAGGGATCCCGTCGTCGATTGTTGTTTGACAGACAACACATGTTGTACTGGGACCATCAGAGGTAATGCCTGAACGTAGGCAAGCATAATTGGTCTGTCATATTGTTTAGGAATATAAAATGGTAATGGAGATCATTGAGGATATGATCTCTACATTACGGGAATTCACTAATTACTACAGCCCATGGGGCACCGCCGGAGCTGTTGTTTTGCCATCGGTCCCAGGCAACTCCAGGGAGCTGCAGTACCCGGCGGCCAAAGCGGCCACCTCGTCGACTCGCAGGTCCTCTGGGATTCCGTGATGCTTTAGTGCTTCACCCACAGAAGCACGGGCATAGCAGTAGGATGTGGGGCTAGGTGTCTGTCCACCTCTTCATTCAAAGAACAACGTGTACAGCGCCTGGTCCCGCCGAAGCTCGGTATCGACCGTGACTTATTCACAACTGGCGGATCCAGGAAGCGGTATTGGACACTGCGGGGGCTTACCCCAAAAAGGTTTCTCGGAATTAATTTAAAAAACTCGGATTTCGATTCCTTGCGCACTGCTGTGCGGTGTGATTAACCAACATTTCCTCAGAAAAGTTGTGAAGTTTTCATTTATTCTCGAAAATCGATTTCGGGCGCTGCCCTGGGGAAGACATTTGCCCCAAATGCCTTCCCCTGGAATCTGGATCCGCCAGTGGCCGTTGCCCCACTCCGAGCTTGACTAAAGACGTCTTCAAACCTCACCAGAAACCGATGGTAAGGTGAATTTAAATCCAATAACTCATCTCTGTCTGCCCGCCTAAATATAGTACACATGGTATGTACAGCACCCGGCCCTGTCGGAGCTATGAGCCGATCGTGATATTTTCGGCTTTCCCCATCCCAAGCTCGATTAGAAACGTTCTCATTCCCCACCCGATTGCTGATGTCAATTCAAATTCAATGCCTCATCTCTGTCTGCCCGACCATAACCCATTCATTGCACACCGTTCAGCGCCCGGCCCCGCCAGAAGTATCCTAGCGCGCTGAGCAGTTGCCTCCAGCCGCGTCATCGCGAGGCCCCGCGCGGCCCATAAATGAATACATTGCGCGAATAGCCGTGTCGCCCCCCTGTCTCGGCCAGTCTGCCGCCGCGCCGGCACTGGCCGTGGTGTGACGTCATCCGGCCGGCTCGGCGCTAGGTAGTTCCACACTTAGGTAACTCGCCGACCGGCCACAGCGATCGCTGTGTGCGGTGACGGAAGGCTGACGTAGGGACGCGGTGGGCGGAGCTTCGAGGCTGTGTGCGGTCCGACCGCACACAGGGCCCGTGAACAGCCCTCGGCTAGTGGCAGGAGATGACGCAATGTAGACATAAACTATGACGTCATACTATTCCTTCTTCTGTTGTTCGCGGCTGCTTATTGGTTAGCTTTGAAATTCATACGTCATGGCACTTGGACTTGATTTCGACAGCAGGAGCAGCAAGACATGCTGGAAATTCTGAACAAATCCCAACTGCTCTATGCCGCAATTCCCGGAGATTTCAATTTCAAGACGCAAGATCAAGATATCTATTTCAATTTGTATGGAAATTGGAATAGGGATTTGGATTAACTGGTGAGATTTGCTTTCCTTATCTGTTGTTGTTTTATTGCTTACGGTGAATTATTATTTGTCATGAACCGAGACCTTCAAAACATCGAGAATCGCCTTTAGTCACCCTTGCCCTGCTTGGAAAAAGTTTTTTTTTTTTTTGTCAATCAATAAATCAACTTAGAAAATGTTTGCAACCGTCACTAGTCTAAAAAAAACTACAATGCCTGTCACCAAATTCTATGAGAAGGAAAACCACTGACCATAATCATATTGTTAGGCATATTGATATGTGACAGAGCATTAACCCTTGCCCCGTTGGGGGGGCCATTTTGGCCCCCCCTGTGGTTTTTCCTGAATTGCGCGCGCCGAATTTTCAGTACCTTCCCGGGCATCAATTTGACACCTTCACACCAAATTTCAAGTCTTAGGTCACCTTAGGTCAGGAGTTATTGAGGTCAAACTGAGGTCATGTTCGAGCAAAAATGTTCGAGCAATGTTTGAGCCAAGTTATAGCGAAAAAACTGTTAAAAAATGATAACGTCAAATTTTTTAACTCAATTTTTAGCGATTCTAGACCTCGTACGGAAAAACAAAGACCACCATTGACCTCCCCGTGACGAGCTGCATCGATTCGATACCCATTTTATGCAAAAATATCAACTTTGAAATTTGACCTAATTTGACCTGACCTTGACCTGACCTTGACCTGACCTTGACCAAAACGTGACCTAAGCTGGCCCCAAAGGCTGCCTGACCCACATAATCGCATTTGTCATGTAAAATGGACCATAAAACATGTATCACACGACACTTTCATATTGTGACCCCCCAGTGACCTGACCTCTGTGACCTGACCTGGTATCAGTGACTTCAACTAGCAAAATATGTGTTTGAAGAACATTTCCCCATCGATGATTTTCAATGAAATGTATTTCACTCGATTTTACAATGCATTTCTTGAAATGCCTGTAAACGGTGAAAATTGGACCTTTGACCTGACCTGTGACGTCATCGGTTTGACCTAGGTCAATAAAATTGGGTCACAAGGTAGTTCCCTGATAGGGCTATCCAACACCGTTTGCCGCTTGTCGCTAGGTTGCGTGGTTCTCGAGATCTTAGGGGGGGGGGCCAAAATGCCCCCCCCCCCCCCAACGGGGCGCGTTGCTCGGCAGAGCCCAACGGGGCGCGGGTTAATTGAGCGAGCAATAAATCGGGTATAAGTAGAGCTGAGAGCAGATGTCACACGAAGGTTTTCCAACCAAGGAGAGGTACATGCCTGGAGGTACTTCTTTCTAACAAAACCTAAACAAACCTAACCTAACCTGACCCAACCTAACCTACAAACCTACAACCTAAAAACCTACAACCTACAAGCCTACCCTACAACCTACAAACCTACAGCGCCTCTCCTTGGTTGGAAAACCTTCATGTGACGTCTGCTCTACTAATGCCATAAATTGGGCCATACTATTTTCTGGATAATCTGCTAGCTGGCGCCATATGGTGGCGCTAGCAGAGCTTCGTTATGGTAGGTATGTATCAATATTCAATGCTAGATATAAGCGACTAAATATCTATTGATTTTTCTATGAGTGCCATTTAGCTGATTTTATCCAGTTCAAGTTGTTGGTAAGGCCGGTAAGGCCCAATAAATTGACCTAGAAGTTTGCTAAAACAGTCATGTATCCAAATTCTGAAAAGTACAGTAACTGCCACAAAATGATGTGGTAAGGAGAACCCATTTAACTTATCATGTGCTACCAGAGTGCGCCAGCTGCCATCGGAACATTTTGGTCATCCACCTGTCAACATCTGGCAAGCTATGATGCGGCCAGCCCAGTTTTGACCAAAGATGATCCTGTCTGATGCAGTTTTGAATTCATTAGTATCAGAGGGCTGTTAGCCATTCAGGTCCATATTGATATAAGGCCTGTACACATTCAGCTGTTGTGCTGTTGTCAGCTGAAATAGGCTCCGCCCACCGCTTCTGGCTGACGGAACTGTATACATTTGGCTGATGAGAAATGTCAGCACTGGCTGGCTGTTTACAAATATGGCGTTGTAAACAACTATTTCGTCTCATCTTCATGTTCTTTATTAATACAATACTTAAGCAGTTAGATATATTATCAAAATATTTACAGACAATGTGCGAAAGTAATAAGTATTTGTCTTGTATCGACAATTAATTATGAAACCAAATATATGTGAATAGCGCCAACATGGTGTCCAAATTTCATTTATCTGCAGTGCTCAATAAAAATCTGGCACGTGATTTGCTTTCATGCGCCACTACCAGTGTCTAAATGCGTCATTTATGGCTTTTGCTGACGGCTCGGCATCTCTGCACTTGCTTTCTCGTAGCAGCACAGCCCGTCAGCCCATGCTGCCGGCAGCAGAGAGGTGACGTCATGTTGCAAGTGCAACAAAACGTCATCAATTTTTCAGCCAATAGTGTGAGTGATTTTCGGCTGACAACAGCACAGCAGCTGAATGTGTACAGGCCTATAGTAGTCCATATACCTGAAGTTCCATGAGCACGTCCAATCCACTGTCCACAAGGCTGGTGGGCTGGCTCACAGTCTTTTGAAATCCACAGTCTGTAGATCCTCTGAGTTCTCGCTTTCCTTTTCACCACTCAATACTCATATTCGTCCAATATTGAATATTGTTCATGCGTCTGGTCCACTGGATATTCTAAAGACTTGCATCTGTTAGAAAATGTACAAAGAAAATGGACGAAATACATCTCCGGGTTGTGTAACCTAAGTTACGGCGATCGTCTAAAAACACTTGACTTGTACTCAGTTCAGGGTAGACTATTAAGAATAAGAGCTGACCTCATCCAGTGCTGGAAGGTCTTCCATGGACACTCTTGCATATCGCCTAAAGACCTGTTTGACCTGGCCCCCCAAGGTCGAACCAGAGGACACTGCTTCAAGATTCTCCTGTCACATAGTCGCACTGATGTTAGAAAGCGTTTCTTCTCTGTTCGATGTATACCTACATACATGGAATTCATTGCCTGAGGAAGCAGTATGTGCTCCTAACTTGTAAACCTTTAAACAATTGTTACACTCCCACCTTCATAACTCTCTGTATGCATACACTTAGTTTAGATTAGGTTAGGACATTGTCGATATTCTCATTGCAAGTCTCTAGTTTACTGATTTTGTTGCTAACTATCACATTGGAAGACGCTCTATTCCAGTTGTAGTGTGTACTCTGATGGCTTTATTGGCAGTTGTTTACCTAGAGAACTGGCGCATCTCAGAATCTTGGGTTCCTTATCCCATCTCGGACCATCCCCAATCAAATCCTAATAAGACTAAGGGAACCCTACCAGGTAAGAATACCAGGTAAGAATAGCATTGATCTAGATAGTGTTACGTATGCATCATACCCTAGGTGACATAAGCCACAATTTTTCAGCAGTCCCAGGAGCTTAGGTACCCTGTGCCATTACCTTATTGTTTCCATCAAGTTAGCGGGTATTAGGTCAAGGATAGCTTACCTACAATAGAACTCTGCTCATATAAAATAGGTATGCCAGCCAGAAGATTACCAGATGACAGGCATTTAAGACATGACTGGTATTGCTTACCTAGCACTTAGCAGTTTAATGCTCACCGGGCCTACTGGTTTTCTACATACTCGTCGGCCGAGGGGGTTGGGTATGACCCCCTTCGCCATTTTGCCCCTGATGGAGCTAGAGTGTCGTGGAAAAACGAGCATGTGCGCCATTACGAGATGCAGGGAATGGTTCCCTATTTTAAGGGGTCAGGCCAAACTGTGACCTTTGAGGTCAGGTCAAATGGTCCAATGCACAGGTTTGGTTTTTGATAAATAACTTCACAACAAACGGTCATAGAGCAGCTATTTTGGCATCATCGTGTTCAGGGCTGCGGAGTCTGAATCGGAGTCGGACTTGGAGTTGGTCGGAGTCGACAGTTCTGCCCGGAGTCGGAGTCGGAGCTGGAGTCGCGAAAATCTTACAGACTCCGACTCCGGAGTCGGAGTTAACGCTATATGGCTCAACGTCATCATGATGCACTGCACCTGTTTGGTTGACGATACTGCAGTCGAAATTAGATTTTGTAATAAAAAGCACTTTGCTGTTTTGGACAAACTTCTTCAGCGAAAGAAGCAGAAGACGGTGAATTCCCCAGAACCTGCTTTTTAATTCTACATGTTATCTATAGGTAATGCATATTTCCAACGCAAAGCCTTGGAACGCACAGGGGATCATTTCAGGCAAGATAAAAACATCTCCATTATGAGCTTCAATATCACGATATGGGAACCGTCCGGAATCGGAGTCGGAGTCGATTTTTGCAGTCGGGGTCGGAGTCACCCTAAAATCCATCGGCTCCACAGCCCTGATCGTGTTCCCCTTGCCCAGGCACATTGAATGGTATGCTTTTGTTATGTGAGGTCAACTGAAGATATTGACCCTGGGGTCAAGGTCAGGTCAGAGCCCCCCCCCCCCCAAGTCACGAAGTTGGTCGAAGGAGGTCATATCGCATATCATTCGATTCGGCAGGTCTTTCTGAGTTCATCGGTGGCTTGCCCGACTCGCTAGCTCAATTTAATCGGGAGTTATTGGCGAAAAACTATCATGATTCAGGACCCTAGTAGAAGTGACGTCCACGCAAGGTCAACAATGCAAAAGTGAACCATCAGACCTAACAAGGAAAGCATGAAATCACTATTCCGTGTGCTTGAGATAGTTTGAGATTGTTCAGGGTGCCAAAATAGCAGTTATCATTTCTTCCCCATTGACTTATAATGGTGATGTCACTTGACTGACCTGACATCATGCAACCTCAAAAGTTATCGAGACCTCTGGATGATACTACGTCCTGTAGGTTTCATCTCCTTGTGAAAATTCCTCTGGCGTTGAGGGCATTGCGAAGTTGCGACATCTGAAGACCGTGCAGAGGTTCACTTATGACGTCATAGGTCAGTGACCTGACCTGACCTGAAAACGTGTTTGGTGTCACAAGATCTGGCTTGAATCAAAGGTCAGGTACCGTAAGGTGGGGCTATTTGAGACAGTGGGGCTATTTGAGACAGTATTTAAAATTCCTGTAAAATAAAAACCACTTAAAATTTATGCTTAATTTTTTACTCAGGCGATTTACTGCTCGATTCCACACCTCTCTTAGCAAAAATATCACACAAAAATCAAACGATCTTCATTTTATAGCGATTTTAAATACTGTCTCAAATAGCCCCACTGTCTCAAATAGCCCCACTTTACGGTATACTAAGTTTCAGCCCTCTTTCACCGGCGTGTTCGGAGTTATGGCAAAAAAAAACTATGGGGGTGACACCCCCCTCGGTCGTTAGCACTTAGCAATGTCCATTAAATAATGTTGTAGTTTTTGTGTAAGAAATTAAGAATCCTTTATAACAATTAACCTATTAACAGCAAGTAAAAAATGGGATGAATGTTGTCTTATCTGGCTCGGTACACATCAGTTACCTACTTCTTCTGTTACAGAATGTGAGTGATTGCTGCTCAGTCACATCCATTTGCTGCATCATTGGCTTCCGCAGGTCCTCACTTGTGTGTTTGTGGTGAGTGAACTTATTTGCTAGGGCTGCTAATAAATGGTGTGTAGATGCGTATATAAGCTATTGATCCATGCATATGCATTTATGATGTGTTTGCCTAGCATATCTGTCTGAATGGCATATTTTCTTTGTGTTATTTTACTAACTTTGCTAATTTTACAGATATCAATTGGGAGATAACAGTTTACATATCCCTCCATAAAATCTGGTGCAAAGATATCAAACATACTGTTGACAGAACAGACCATGCATGCACCATCGATCATTAATTAGAATGAATACGTCTAGAAGAAAACGAATTTCTTTTAGAAATTTTGACATCGTTTCAATTATAGCCATATCAGGTACCACATAGCCATATCAGGTACCACATAGCCATATCAGGTACCTAAATCAAGTCACAGCCCACTCTATATTTAGAGAAGTCTGTGGTTAGGCGAGTGTATCAGATTAGGCGATATGAGGTCAGTGTCACTAACTAAAGCTGGCTGTAATATGGTCTGTCTTTTGTAAATGACAACGGACCTGGCAATATGTGTACCATATGATGCGCTCGTGGACTGACGGCAGCCCCGTTTGCCGTCCCCCGCTGACCGCCAGCGGCGGTGCCACTGATTGTAGCGTGGCGACGGGCGTCGGGTGGCCGGGCGGCCGGCTCCGATGCTGGTCAGGGATGTGGGGCGGGGAGGCGCCGGCCGGCCGCTGCCGCCGGCTGCTGGTCACCACCGTGCTGCTGCTGCTGCTCGTCGTCACTATGCTCCTGTACCGGCTGTGCTACTCCTCTCCGGGCACGGTGGTGTGCGCGCGCGCCGGGGCCGGCCGCCTCCACTTCCCACACACACGGCGACGGCTGCCGGGAGCCATAATCATCGGCGCACGCAAGGCTGGGACGCGTGCACTGCTCGAGATGATGAACGTCCACCCACAGGTGAGACCGGCTGACTTCGCCGTACTTCCCTTTACGCTTTGGGCGAATTATAAGGTGTGACCTAGTCGGCCAATTTCGTTCGTGATTTTTGCCAGCTTTTATGCAATGTTCTTAATCACGGTCATGATTATAGGAAAAGGGCACCAACAATTAATTTTCATTCCAGCAGTCTAAAGATTCAGTTTCGTTCGGCTCCTTTGATTCAGAAGGGTCGCCCTTTTCATGAATTAAGCTGGTAGTGAGATTCATTATCGGCTTAATGAACTAAAGAAGGGCATGCTATGTTCTGGATGTGGCCGCCTGTTGATTGCTGGCTCGCACGTTGTCTTTTTTTCTCTAGTCTTTCCTTGTGCTGCTCGGTGTGTGATGAGTGTCCGGAGACCAGAACGCACCGGGACCTGACCGATCGTGCCATTGGTGGTCCTGCAGGTGATGCGGGCCTCGCGTGAGGTCCACTTTTTCGACCGCGACAACAACTACCGGCGCGGCCTGGACTGGTACCGGCGGCGCATGCCGCTCTCGTTCGACGACCAGATCACTGTGGAGAAGTCTCCCAGCTACCTGGTGACACAGACGGTTCCAGAACGGGTCAGTGGCCGCTGCGCCGCGGCCGGGGACGGGTCGCTCACACAGACTCCTTTGCTTATAAACTGCTATCAATGACATTGACGGTGTATACAGTATTGAATAGCACGCCTTCATAGCGTGAATGTTTTATGTTGGCATTTCACAGCAGCTGCGGTCGCTCGACGCTGTGTCTGGAGATGTGACGGTTCTCCGTTCTCCACCAGGTGGCCCGCATGAATCAGACGATCCGTCTACTGGTGGTGGTTCGCGAGCCAGTGGCGCGGCTCATCTCCGACTACGCTCAGTACCTGGACAAGGGGGCTCGGGGCGGCAAGCCGCGGCTACGGCTTCCCGAGCTCGTGCTGCGCCCGAACGGCTCTGTGCGCACCGAGTCGCGCCTCGTCAAGATCTCCATCTACCACCGGCACGTGCGCCGCTGGCTGCAGCACTTCCCGTCGGAGGCGCTGCTCATAGTGGATGGTGACCGGCTGGTGAGGGAGCCACTGCCCGAGCTGCGCCGTGTCGAGAAGCACCTCAGACTACCGCCCTACCTCAATGAGAACCACTTCTACTTCAACGACACTAAAGGCTTCTACTGCATTGCCAACGATAACGGCAGTAAGTGTTTGGCTGAATCGAAAGGGCGTAAGCACCCTCCGACCGACCCGCAGCTGGTACAAAAGCTGCGCCGCTTTTTTGCACCACACAACCGGAAGTTTTATCGGTTGACTCAGAAGAACTACTCGTGGCCTGAGACTTAGTGGACGATGTAAGCGATGGCCTCAGATGGTCCCTCCACACCGCTGGCAGACATTTTCTATATCGTTTTACCTTATTTGGAAATGGGTGACCGCATGTTTTTACAGCTTGCATTTCAGTTCTGGGTATCTTATACGCATCTCCTACATCCCACTCCATTGAATCACAGTGAGTAGGAAGTGACATGGGAAGGGCAGATAAGGTTCATAATCTTTGGTACTCCGTACTCGTCCTTCATTGACACCCAAAATTATGTCCAGTTTAGCAGAACTCTTGCCTAAGATGCCAGCCCTGGTTACCAATTTTTATGTGGGTGTGCATGGGTCATGGACATATAATGTGTCCACCACTGGAATCGAGGGGCGAAATTTAGTGAGCATAGCTTTTTGTACGCTTTTCTAGCATGTGTAGAAATGTGGTCTGGACGGGTATCATATTTGAGTAGCTGATCGTAGTTTTCCGGTTAGTTGTGATGCGCGACGTGTCTGCCACTTACAGTCTGTCCTTTCTGGCAGACTAGACTGGGCTTCAATGTCTGTCATGCCATAGACTTGAAGCAATGGTTCGCTGCTGGCGCCGCCGTGGGTACGCGAACGACAAGTGAACACTCTGACGCTATGGCCGCCTCGTTGTAGAGATGGGATGGCGTCCATATTCTTTTTGTAACGATAATTCATTGTTAAGGTGAGCGATTTAATTCCTCATAAATAGCAGTCAGTCAAGAGATCATATTATTGTACAAGAAACAGTACCTTTTTAAGTGCAGCATTATTATCTTGTGATGAGAACTTGATTTTGCAGCTTAATAATAGCTTACTAATGGGAATGGGCTAACATATCGTCGCATATCACGACATCATCGTTAGGTAATAAGCATATGCATGCTGTGCATGTAGTCCTGTGCGGTATTTTCGATATAACTTTATACCGCCATGCGGTGCGCACAAGTTGGTTTTCCATTGAGTGTTGATGGATGGCGAGACCGATGCCATTCTACAGAGACCCTTTTCGTCTGCCTCGTCCGGAGTGTGACGAGCAGCTCGGGCCAGTCGGGCTCTCTCTCAGTTGTCCATGACTCATGAGGGAAGCGTTTCACCTGCGTGTGCCTGTGTTGACGAACTATGACAATCGCTGTTCTTGAACGTCGAGCTGCATTCCTTATTTACTTGTGGAGATCATCTACTGTCGACTGAAAGTTGCCTAGCGTATGCTACTTTCCTTTTTGTGTCCAGTAGGTGTAGTTGATCTTATTGCTCCAGTGGTAGTTTCCCAGTATGCCCAACATTGATCAGACGCACGATATCGTTCAGCGTATACTATGCTTCCAGCGATGATAGTGCACAGTGCTTTTGATTCAGTGAGTGGTGCTGCGCCCACTAGGTAGCTAAGACTGGACTCCACGACCATTGCGATCATGCGTCAACGAATATCACCAGCCCAGGTCCTAGAGCTGAGGGAAGATGTGAGGGATACCGGCCTATAAGTATTGCACTGTAGGCCGTTCAGTAGCCTATGGACCAGATCGTGAGTCGGTCACAGATGTGGCTGATTGTGGGTAAATGGGCTTGTCCACAACCGCGAGGAACCAGCTGCAGTGTTTGTGTGGTTATACACGTCATGAAAACCACCGCTACCCATTATGTTGTCTTCTTTTGTTCCCCGTCGTTCCACGCCATCCATTTCTTTTAACAACTTTGTCCTTCCACGCTGTTCTGTTTGACCTTTTCAATTTTCAAAGCACATTTTACGTTGTTAACGAGTGTTCGTTGCCGTTCCTAAGTTCTGGCTTTTGGCTCTACGTGACAATGTCGTGTGTTCAGATGCTGGACCACCATATTCATTTCCAGCCTTTCCTTAACCCTGCCGGCGTCGCGACTTGCTTGTCCTTTTCCTCGTGTTTTGGTTTGCCTCAAGCGTTCGATCGGCCTAACTATAGGATGAAATATCGGTGTGAACTGTACCGTTGCCAATCACTGCTAGTTTGAAACAGATGAGTACAGCCGAGCTGTCGATTGTAGTAAGTGCGAGTGGCAAGCCAGTGTGTTACTGCACATTGCCATATTCGGTTGCACTTGTATGCAATGCGCAAGAGCTACTGGCTGCATGACCCGTTTGCTCCAGGTCATTACAGTGGTGAACAGACAGTGCAGACCTGTTTTAAGGCCAATAGTCCATAAATGTGTCCGTTTTGGGGCAAACTGTCATTGCAAGGCGTTATAGCCTTTTTGTAGTTTGTAGTACCGTGGTAGCTAAAAAACTTGTCATTTACGTTATAAATGTTGTGTGGTTTGGGTTAAGTTCTTGCGTTGTCTATTTTCGGCGTGTCAAACGCATCGTTGTAACACGTTTCGCAAAAAAAAAATCAAATAACACATGTTTCGTTTATCGGCTTTGTGGTTCGTAAGGACCGTTCGTCGAGAACATTGAGAATCAATAAATCTCGTTATACGAGGGACTTTGTTTATAGACGAGCATTGCGAGCCTCCAAAGTTGATCTGTTTTACGGGCCGTGGTCCCTGTTCGAGGCGCACGTGAGCAATAGACGTCATGCGAGACCAGACTGGGCTGCTGCCTGCTGGCAGGGCAGGGCTGCTGCTGACGTGATTGATCGCTCAAGGGCAGGTCGCGTCAAGTGCGACCTCTGCATCGTAAGCACCAGTGCCTGGGAATTGGGGAAAAATGAAAGGCGACGTTTTTGGACGAAAGCCATTTAAAGTCGATATTTGAGAAGGACGTATGGCACTACAAACATCCGCTACCGTATAGCCATGAACATGAATCGAAAACCTGCAACCTGCACCCGTGACCCCTCAACAGTCAACGTCCCTGAGGTCATTTCGGTTATGACAGGTCTCTATAGCAGTTTTTTTTACGATAAATTTTGATAGAGGCATGCTGGAGTGATCCCTGCCGGATCCATAGGCAGGAGCGGCAGGAGACATTTGGGGCAAATACTCCCTCCCCCCGCAGCGCCCGAAGTCCACAATTTTTTCGTGGATGAAAAAAAAAATTATTAGGAATTTAGATGCAGGTTGAAGGAACTTTGTTTTGTTTTGGTGAGGTAAAGTTTTCCCTTCAAACTTTTATTGACGTCATGCTGCCAAATTCCTTGACGCAGACTGACGAAACATCAAACCACGGATCACATAACGGATCGGCAACTCCCCCCCGCGATCTGTCTCCCCTGCCACCTGGTGGGCATTTAGGTGAACTATCTTCACTAAGGAAGCGGCCGGCCTCGTGCGTGTTGAGGGCGTCGTGTCGGAGCTAATTAAGTGATTTTTCTGCGGAACATGGTTTCTCAGCTAGCTCAGAAGATACCAATGGTATAAATGAGAATGGCAAGAATCGTTAGAGACAGGTTAAGTATTTGAGATCGTATCCTTTGTCATGAAAATCGTTGTTTTCATAACCACGTGGGCGACCTAGCGTCCATCGCTAAATTGGTAATTTTCCGATCGCTGTCATCTCTTACATATATTTCATGAGTACATTTTTGATAAATATTCATCTGCCGATTAAATTAAATCTATAACTTTCACAAATATCCTACTTGCATAAAGTATAAACCCACGCCGGGCCGGTACACGGTACCAACCGCGCCGGGCCGAGGGTGTATGAAACCCCCGCCCCCTCCTAACTCGGCTTCTGGGCTACGTAGCCACACGGGGTAAGCGGCATTCCAAAGGGCGTAAAAATAATGGCGGAAATACTTCGGTCATTTTTTTAGGTCAGATCAAAGGTCGGGTCACCAGAGGTCATTAAAGGCAAATTTTGTCTATTTCAACAATTTTCGAAACATCCGACGCATAACTTGGGAACCAACAGAACTACAGAGGCGCGGAAAAGCGCATTCGATAGCTCTTTCACAGGTCCTTCTGAGTTTTATTCACAGATTTAACCTCAGGTCAACGGTTTAGCGTCCAGAGAGCAAAATCTCCAAAAATAGCCGTGTTTACGAAAAACGTTTTTTTTCGGTAATATCTTTTGACTCAAACGAGCCACGACATTACTTTTGCCAGCATCGTGTTCCTCTCGTCGAGACGCGTCGAATGAACTATAGGTTGACCTTGAAAGGTCATTTTGAAAATCTTACGTCAGGTGAAGGTCATGACCTGACCGGAAAGGGTCATTCTGCATATCAGTCGATCCGTATCGTCGAGCTGAACACATCTGACGTGTTTTCATCGCTCTAGCACGTCTCTATCAAAAGTTATAGTAAAAAACTGCTGGTGAACGTTTTTATTCCACTGTTTACATACATGTAACCCGATGTTTGAGGGTGTTAAGGATGACCCGCCCAGACCAAATGAGACGCCTTTCAATTTGCTCTTATTGAATTATTATTAGTATTACACATATTATTATGCATATAGAGAGAGAGAGTATTGAGTATGCGGCAATGTGTAGGGTGCAAAATGACCTGACCTGGCTCTAAGCCACAGATATTTTGAGATGTCTGATGTAACACGTGGCTAAACCAGCCTCGGGGCCAAAGCTATACGAGCACTGTTTAGCAGCACGCTGTTACCCAGTACCTAGCATCATCAGGTATGGGTGCCTCCGTTCCTATGGAAACGTAAGCAAACTTCACAATGTTGCCAACGTCTTAATGGAAACCGGCTAAGTGTCAATACCTTGTAGCGGCGGGGAGGGTCGTATCGTGAAACAGGGGCCGAGATCCACCTATAGTCACGTTAATGGCCAGCTCGTTGGATTTGCTCCGATGTTATCTACTCCAACTGGTAGCCTGTGACCATCGAGATAGGAACAGAGGATGAACTCGTACTATGGGCAGACGGATGAGGAAAGGTGGCTTCGTGTACGGCCAAAAACGACGTTAAAGTTGCGAGGACGTGCTTCTTGCTCATACAACTCAAGCATGACTAGAAACATTTGTATCATTATGCATGCTCCAGCTGATTAGGGAATAAAGTATGTAACATTTCCATGTTATGGTAACATTCCAGCTGTTAGAGAGACTCTGTAATTTAATCCGTTCACAACCTTTGATTGTTTTTGTTTTGTTGGGTTAGGCCCTTTCGGTCCATTGAGACCATTGCAGAGCCGGAAGGATTATAGGAATTGGGGGAAACATTGGTATGGACAGGCACCCTAGAGAGTCACCGGGGCTGAGCCCGTCCCAATGGACAGGACGACCAGCCCCCCAAGCACTCTCTGCACCCGGCTACGGGTGTGCTCCCTAGGGAGCAGTGGTGCGCTTCAAGGGAGCAGCCCGCATGAGATAAAGTTGCCTGTCCAGTCCGGATCGAGAGTTGCTGCGTGGAGGAGAAGGATTTGAACTTGATCTGAACATCCTGAGGATGTAAACGACGGACGGGTGTTGCGTTCACACCCGTTTCCCCGTGCCTTTTAACACTGGTTGCGGCGGGCGGCCGGCTCCCCTCCTTAGTGAAGATATCCGCGCCGCTAGATGGCAGCCCGCTCCGCGGGTACACCGATAACAATGGGAAGCGGGGAGAGTTGCCGATCCGTTAGGTGATCCGTGATCAAACAAAACGCTTCTGTTACAAAAGTGGTTCCTTGTGCGTGGGATGTGTGTGTTGGGATTGTGGTCAGCGATGCCATTCCTTGGGATTTGTCCCAAGATCTTGAGATTTGAACATTAACATTGGGATCTTGTGATTTGCACTGCATATCTTGGGATCTGGCAGAAGCTGATTTCACTTTGTCTTCTCATGCTGTCGAATGCTTTTTCCTTGGTCGATAATAGATTTAGGATGGATTTGCACTACGGACGGTTAAAGGAAATAGTTCACTTTCACGAAATTATTTTTTTTTGCAACGGATTTATGATTTTTTATGTTCAAAATAATCAGCAAATAAAATAAAACCTTTTTATAACAAAAGATTATTTTCTATATTTTGATATAGGAAGAACTTTTCAGTTTCTGTAAGGCACAGTCGCGATCCAGTATGAAAAGAGCATGGTTCCCGAAAATTCTTCAGAAACAGAGAAATTATCGCAGCCACCGGCATTTGGGCGATCTGCTCGATCTGATAATGTTCCCCTGAATGTCCTAATTGATCAGTACGAGAATTTCTCTAGAGTTCTCGTAGATAATTTCTCTACTTTCTGAAGAATTTTCGGGACCCATGCTCTTTTCATACTGGATGGAAATATATGCAAGGCACACATCCTCAACGCAAGACACCTTTTTCGAGACGAGAAATAGAATATCTTTGCCTAGGGTGATCGTTGGGCTGTAAAAGCTCCTGATTTATGCTCGTCTCAGCCCAAGCTACCGAACTGCTATTCCAGTTCAAAACCCATGTTAAAAAGTGAACTATTTCCTTCATTCAAACATATTATATATATATATATATTATATATATATATATATATATATATATATATATATATATATATATATATATATATATATATATATATATATATATATATTATAATATATATATATTATATATATATATATTATATATATATATATATATATATATTATATATATATATATATATATATATATATATATATATATATATATATATATATATATATATATATATATATATATATATATATATATATATATATATATATATATATATATATATATAT